CATAATCTGTTAGGAGGCCTATACCTCACACAGGAACTAAGCACAGCATATTGCAGCTAATAATACTTGAACATGCATCCATTTATCTTCAGAAGGGCAAAGGAGAACTCACTCTTATAAAAACACACCTACAGTGTCTGCACTCAACTTGTCATGGTATTCTTCTTTCTTGACAAGAGTTAAATCCCCTAACACTAATACTCCAAACTCAAAGTGTTTTGTAACCATCATTAATCAGTATCTTTGTTCCGAAGTGGCCAATGATATCTCAACTCCATGAAGGAGCACTCAGAATGCTTTCTACTTGACCTAATGATCCTCATCAGGTTCACCAGCAGTGCTTGCATGAAATCACCATTTCTGAACTATTTACATCCCAATGTTCACTATTTAAATGCTTTCCTAAAGTGGATTCAAGTAAACATAAATTTCAAATCCATGGTGAAAAAGCAGTAAGGAAAACTCAGCTATGATAAATTCTTTTTCTTTTTTTTTTTTAGCTGAGCCATCCTGCCACCTGTTGGCAGCTCAGCGGCAGCTCAGCTCGAGCCGGGAATTGAACCGGCAACCCTGTTGTTCAGAGCTCGCACTCTTGAGGGATTACTTAACCCACTAAGCCACTCGGCCGGCCCAATAAATTCTTAAACCTATCCATCCACTTTCCGTAGTAGCGCCACCTGGGGAGAGATGAATTAGTGTTAGGAAAGGGGAGAAGATATACCAACCCTGCACTAGTTTCCCACTGTTAGATTCCTATGTAAGACTCAGGCACGCCTCTTTTCCTCTATACATTCTCCTTGTGAAGTAAGTACATCAACTGTACTCTTTACCCATTATTTTCCAAATTCAATACTTTGGAAAAAATGTCTAAGTCCTCTATCACTAAGAAGCCTACAAGAATGTAGACAAATATCATTTTACTGTGGTTCTTGAGTGTACACCAGAATATCTCTAAACACAGGCTACTGTAATTTATAGTGTTATCTAGAGCTGGCATCAACTTAAAAGAAAGGAGCCTGAGTTTTAAAAAAAGTGCAATGGAAAATAGTCCACATCGAAACAATTATGGCTTATTTTTCATTAAGAAGAATATCTGTGACATATAACGCTAACTGCTCTCCAGATTTGGCTGGCTCTTGTTTCTTTTAAGTGATCAGAAATAGGGGCAGGGCTCGAAATCACTAGAGGTACAGAGATGGCAGAAGCTGATGGTGATGACAGAAGCAACAAGGAGATGGTCACAACTGCATATAAGTGACACCACATTTATCTGATGAAGCAATGCTTAGAAATGGAAATAAAAATCTTGCAAGCTTATGGTGTACCTTATATGAGTTACCTTGGGAATTACGTCCGATGGATAGAATATTACCTGAGAACCAAGGTGAAAAGCTAGGGAGAAATACTCCATTTTCTTCTCACCCCCCAAAAGCAGTCAGGAGGAAATTTTTCCTTCTCAGTAATTCCTGGTCCTTATGTGTAAAACAGGCAACAACAACAAAGCTACCTGCAAGGTTCACTTCCTGTGATGTAATGCAAACGTTGTACGAGAAAATAATTAAACCCCACAAAACTTGCATAAGGGTCATAACTGCCATGTAGACAGAGTGCTTTATAATATAAAAACCATTTAATAAAAATGATCTAATTGTAACCTCAGCACTGTGAATTGAGGAGAAGGCATCGCCCCCATTTTGCAGATGAGGAAATGGGCTTGAGGATGGGTAGGACACCTTGTGCCGAGGCCAAGCTCGAGAGCCGTGGGGCAGGACTGAGCCCAGGCTCCCCACTCAAGTCACGAGCCCTTCCTATTATGTCACACACTACAAGCATCAAAATATCTCTGTTTTGTTATACTTCTCATCCCACCCCTTTTCACTGCAAGTTTCTTGCATCAAGAAGGCTCTGTGCTTCCCTGGGCCCAGCACACAAGACCTACGTTCACAGCCAGGGTGAATGGGGTTAGTCGTACAGAAAGGGGCGCCTGCCATTGGCACCACCAGATGTACCAAGCTGCCAACACAGGGCCCAGCCAGACAACTTCTGGTTTGGTCTAAAATGGGTGTTTCTTCAGAGGGAACATTAAAAGCTATTTCCCACCCTTGGCAATGGAATTAAGAATGGCCACTGAAGACTGGTCCAATTCAAAGGCAACGTAAGACTTACCCGTGGCTGCTCCTGCTGAAATCTGCTGCCAGATGGTGTTGTGCTATTCAGATAATTAGACAGACACCCAGAAAAATTAAAATGTGAATATCTTCTGAACTAAAAGTCATCAAATATTCAGTGTAACTTCAAAAACAAAACCTAACAGCACAATGAGACTTTGTCCTAGGACTACAATCTACATACTAATTTGCTGCCTAAGTGGGGAGATGCAGGCGGTATCCTCATACACACAAGAGCACAGCATGTACCTCTTGTTACCCAGATGCCATGTCAGTTTTAGGAAGGCTGTAAATACCCTCAGGTTCCTACGTGTACAGTCACAACAGAGTCCTAACTACACCTCTGATCCAACAGGGCACTGAGCTGCACAAACCTGCTCTCACATGCATGAGAAACCACACAGGTTCAAATAAAACAGGGCTCTCACTTTTGAAGGCTGCTGAATCTTAATCTCCTGGGAATCAGATGCAGAGTCTGACTTGGTGCCTCCAGAACTGGGTTTCTCCTTTTTTCTCTTCTGTTTCTTCTTTTTCTTTTTGGCACCCAAGTCCCCTCTGGGACTTCTGTTAGGAAATTCACAGGGGGGTAAAACAACAATAAATCATTATATAAAATTAATCAGNGCCGGCCCAAAATTGGACTTTTTACAGGGTTAGAAAATAGACTAAAATTGTTATTACTGAGGGCCAAGATCATAATCCAATATTTATATTTTAAGAAGAAAAGGATTACTTTTGTGTAAATTTCTAATCTGTGGTATGAAACAAGTTATATTAGTGAAGTAAGGTCTCTTTTGTGTCTTTTTGGTGTCTTTGTTTGTTGTTAACCCAGCCTTGTTTTTTGGAAGAAAAAAAAAAAAAGGCAGAGAAGCTCACTTAGTTTGGGTACCGGCTGTGTGTCCCAAAACTGGTATCTGTGTTTGGCAGCCTCATCGATGTTCCTGGCAGGGCCTTGGCACGCTGATAACAGCTCCATTGCTCTCTGGATATCCTGCAACTTCTGCATTGGAATGGCGGGATTCTAGAACAGCAAAGATATACAGACACGAACTATGAGGAAGGTGCCGCTGCTGCAAAACCTGGGGCAGAAACATGTGCATCTGCCTTGGAGTCTACACACAGAAAAACAAACAGTCCTCTAAGCCTGGTCAGGCCCCTGGGCTCCCGTATGCTAACATATTAAGACATAAGCGGACATATTATGTTAAAGATAACAATAGCATTCTAGTTTTGATGGGGTTCTCCTAGTGTGGGGAATCTAATGTAACTTGAACCACCCTTTGCTTCAGCTTCCCACCCATCTGCAAATGGTCCTCACCATTACTCGTTTGGGCAGAGCAGCAAAAGGGCGTGACATGCAATGCATGCGTTACTGTCATACAGCAGCCAGTCAGCCACCAGCCGTGGTGTCACTGTTAGGGTTAATGCTCTGCAGCAGCAATGGGGGGAACAAAGGGAAGAACTTCTAGCGTGGAAACTAGGCAGACAAGGGAAACTTTAGTTCATTAAGAAGAAGAAAGAAATCTGAATTCAGTACTGAGCTGGGAAGGAAGTAAATCAAGAAAGGAAACCTCTAAGGATGCCTTCCTCTTAGACCACACCCTGCCATCTCCTAACGCTGATGCTCCTCCAGAAACAATCCTTCCAACAAGGACAAGAGCTTTCCTTTATGAATTCAGACCTCAGGCAACCCAAGCTATTCTCCCCAGCCCAAGTGTTGGAAACTAACCTCCTTTTTAAGTAAAACATATTCTTGGTCTATAAAATTAACAGTACCTTTAAGTTCTAAAGTTCCTTCCTCAAAGCCATTATTCCTGACATCTCTGAAGATTCCCTAGCTCTTTTTTTGGAAAATCCCTCAGATAATATCATACTATATGGAAAAGTAGACTAGCCTGGAAACAAAGTAGTAGATAGAACTGAATATGGAAATCAGTGAGTTTTCCAATATGCAAAATTATTTATTAGTTTCAGAATTTTGATGCCCTCCAAAGAGTGCTCTTCACTGTAGTTCAGAAGTGGTTAGAAATAATTTCAGAG